AAGTAAATTGCTACTTCAAGATTGCTTCTTGCCATTGGCTAATCTACTAGATATTAGGGAATTTACTGTTTTGAATTTCATTTTTTGAGACTGAGCAGCTTCCCTGGCCACGGTTATCTATTTAACTGTTCTGTACCTGATAAGCAGCGTATGCCAGCTACGTGTATAATGCATTATTGAATTTCTTATAAACAGATTGAAGCTCTCAAAGCAATTGGAGTCACTGAAGTGGTCTTGGCAATTAACTACCAGCCAGAGGTAACAACAACAATTCAGAGGATCACCTTTCCACTGAAATTCCATATCATATTCATGTATTAATATTGCAGCTGGATTTTCTTACGACACCCTGTAATTATGTACTTTTAAATGCAGGTTATGCTGAATTTCTTGAAAGAATACGAGAAAAAGCTTGAAATTAAGATCACCTGCTCACAAGAGACTGAACCACTTGGCACAGCAGGTCCTTTAGCCCTAGCTAGAGACAAGCTCATTGACGATACTGGTGCACCCTTTTTTGTCCTCAACAGTGATGTTATAAGTGAGTATCCGTTAAAACAAATGATTGAATTTCACAAAGGCCATGGAGGGGAGGCTTCCATTATGGTAACCAAGGTGAGTTGAATCTATTGTTTTGCTTGTTCCCAGGCACCAAGCCCGTTCCCTATATGTTAAACCAATTTTTCATGTCACAGGTGGATGAACCATCAAAGTATGGTGTGGTGCTGTTGGAAGAAACTAGCGGGAAGGTTGAGAAATTTGTTGAGAAGCCAAAAATATTTGTAGGTAACAAGATCAATGCTGGAATCTACTTGTTGAACCCCTCTGTTCTTGATCGGATTGAACTGAGGCCCACCTCAATAGAGAAAGAAGTCTTCCCAAAGATAGCAGCAGAGAATAAGCTGTTTGCCATGGTCCTACCTGGGTTCTGGATGGACATTGGACAGCCAAAAGACTACGTTACAGGTCTGAGACTATACCTGGATTCTTTGAGGAAAATGTCCTCTCCAAAACTGGCCAATGGACCAAACATTGTTGGAAATGTTTTGGTTGATGAGAGTGCAGTAATTGGAGAAGGATGTCTAATCGGACCAGATGTAGCAATCGGCCCAGGTTGCATAATAGACTCAGGAGTTAGGCTTTCCCGCTGCACTGTGATGCGGGGAGTGCGTATCAAGAAGCATGCATGCATCTCTAGTAGTATCATTGGATGGCATTCCACTGTGGGGAGATGGGCTCGCATGGAGAACATGACAATCTTAGGAGAAGATGTTCATATTGGCGATGAAGTTTACAGTAATGGGGGTGTTGTCCTGCCTCATAAGGAAATAAAGTCTAGCATTTTGAAGCCAGAAATTGTCATGTGAGCTTTGAGGTTTTTCTCCTTGTTTGTCCATAGTCATTCTTACTAACTGATAAACTGCTCACTCTGAACGAGGAAAAATGGTATTGTAGAAACTCAAAACAATTGTCTTGAATTCTTCCCCCCCTCATTGCTGCTCTTTATTTATTTTTCCTTTGTTTGGTTAAATCGTATTCAACAGTGAGCGATTTTCCTGTGATGAATTTGTATCAGATGTTTGCTATAAATAACAAAATGGAAGCATTTTTGCGTTTACTATATAGTAAAACTAGACTGCTTATCAAGCTTGGAGTTTTCTTCTTCTTTTTTTCATCAATTTCACTGGCTCGGTGACCTCAAACTATGACCGCAGGCAAATCCTGATAACCTCGACCTCAAGCAATAACTTAAAATGTTTCTCTTACAGTTGTTGTCATTTTAAATGTACTGCTTGTTTGTACGGTTTTTTGTGTAGTGTTTTGGTTACTGTATTATTATTAAAAGAACGGAGATACTGGAGATAGAAATGTCGTAGAAACGGAGATATAGAAATAAATTTGGTTTTGGAATGATTTTACAGTGAGTTTTTATATTTTAAAATAGAAGACACAAGAATAAGTCTTTGGATAGAATATTTTTTATTTCTAAAATATTCTTGTAAAAAACTTTAAATTCTAAAGATTATTGAATTAAATTATGTAAAGATAAAAATAATTATTATTGTAGTTTTAAAATCTAATTTAAAGATCGATTCAGGACAAGGCTTGGATTACGAGTTAGAAGCGTCAATGCAGGTTAACCCAAGTTAATATAAAAATAAAAATAAATATTATAATAATTTTAAAACTCAAATTAAAAGTTGACCTGGGGCAAGATTTAAATTATGAGTCAGGTTAATCATTAATCTGAGTCAATATAAAGACAAAAATAATTATTATCATATTTTAAAAATCTACTTGAGAGTTGAACCAGATTAAAGCCTATGTCACAGATTAGAAGGGTCAACTTGGGTTAATATAAATCAATGTATGAATAAAAATTATTATTATTATAATATTAAAATCTAACTAAATAATTTATCCAAGGTAAGACCTGATTCATAGATTCTGAGAGTCAACCTGATTTACCAAAAAAAAAAAATAGAAATCAAGCCAACCTTGTTTTGACAAAAAAAAATTTAAAAAAAAAAGTCAATAGGTTTTTTTTATCCATGTTGTATCTTGTGTCGAATAGGTCATAAGTTGATCTAGGTTTTTGACTTGGTTAAATCAAGTTAATCCTTCCTCAAGTTTTTTATTAAACTTGGACTAGTCCAGGTCTTGAGGCGGCCAAGTTGACCTGCTAGGTTGGTCTCAATTTTATAACTAAAATTATTATAAAATTATTAATTTCAAAACTTAGTACTAAGTTAACAAAAAATTACATCTAATTATTTTTTTAAATATATAAGTTTGATACATATAAAAAGTAAAAAGAAAAAAAAATCATATTTTATCATATATTATCACTATAATCAAATATAATACAAACAATTACTTTATCTTATGCACTACTATTAAATTCGCTGCTAGAACGCAATTTTATTAGACACTTTTTCTATATTATTTCTTCTATTTTACTGTTTTTGTTATGTTCAGAAACAATTACTAAAAACTATCTTTTAAGTGCTTTGTTGTTTTTATTTATTTATTGACCGTGCAAGACTTGCACTCCTGAGCTCTTTAGTTCTTTGTTGTATAATCAAATGTTGATTATAAAATTGAATTAAAAAATCATTTTAATAAGAAGTATTTATAACTTCAAATTTATTTTTTTAACTTTTGATGAAGGAATTCTAACTTATACCATTTTTTATTTAAAAAAAATGTTTCGATTTAACAAAAAACTAAATATACTATTAACTTGACTTGTTTAAACTCAATCTAGTTATAAGTTGTTAATAAAAAAAAAAATCAAGAATTCATGCGGATCCAAACCGTTTGATTGGTGGACGAACTGGATGCCAATATCATTGTTGTGAATCCCTTTCATATGATTGGATGAACTAGGTCCACATTTCCTCTCATCAGGAAATGATCCGTTGTCCATTGTTTTTTTTTTTTTTTTAAAGCCGTGTAGGACTATTAATTTATTGATGAATATGGGAATATCCATGCCACATTACCAATGAGGGTATCAAGGAAACTAATTACATGCATGCTCAGCGACAGCCATGATCAAATCGTCTGCTTTTTGATCTGGTTTGAGAGAGATACGTATACCTATTTGATGCACGTCCCCATCAGGGCTGAGAAAGACATCTATACATATTACTTCCAGCAACTTGGAGAGCCCAGTGATAGATTAGAAAGAGGGAAACAGGGCTCACTCAACTCTGACGGGCCTCTTACAGACGCCGACTGTGTTTTAATGGGTTGAAATGAATATCCATACATCTCCATGAATTCGATCGCCCTTTCCTTTTTCTTTTTGTTTTTTGAGCGAAGAAAATCATTCATCGAAGGAACTTAAAAGGGCAAATCTCAATACAAAGTCCATTACAAGATGGTCTTGGCCATGATCTAAAGCAAATATACTACTGAAACAAAGATTACAAACAGGACACTAATCAATAAGGGAAACGTAGCATTGCTTTGTCCCTCATGAACGCTCCTTAATTTATAGAATCTGCCCTTGACTACGTCGACAGTCCAGTGTCCATCAGTTATCTATAACAGACAGTCAGTGCTTTGTGGCAGGCAGGGGTCTTTCTTCATCCACAGTCCACCCGTACTTCACAGCACTGCTTTTTATCTTAAAGAGATTTTTTTTTCCCCAACAATTTCATTTCTTGTATGCTAGTAACAATGACAATTGGCCTAACTCAGAAAAAAGAGCATTCTTTCCGACCATGTGTGATCCTTCTTTCATGATTATTCTTTTGCTTTTACGTTTATGAAATTTCCATAAATAAAAGGAAATGAACATCAGACCAAGCTGATTTTTGCTACCAATTACCGGTTAGTTATGTGTTGGCACGAAAGTAAGAAGACAGGACATCTGAGAGGACAGAGAACGGCACTTCCAAACTCTAATGTTATATGTTATAGTTCGCTCAAACTTTAGGTCAAGTTTTGGAAGCGAGTGAGGACATGGAGAGCTTAAATGAATACATGATCATTAACCAAAACATTCATTTGCCTAAGGAAAACTCATAACAAATAGCAAACAAACAGGGGAATCCTGAAAATTGTCCAAAATTAAGGCATGTTAGAGTGGGATAAAAATTTACATGTGAAGCAGAAGATATTACCATTTGTGTACTCTGCAACTCTTGGAAACAAACACACGTATCAACTACACCGAGGCTAGGATCCAGAACATCACATGAGATGATACACTGACTTGAAGCCAGGTGAGGAATGCCAAGAGTATGGAAATCTCATACCTGCTACATGGAAGATCTGGATGGATCTTGCAAAAGTTCATGTCCCTAGCATAAAGAACAACAACACCTGCTGATGAACATGCAGCTGCAAGTGATAGCATAGCTGTTACCTGCAAGTTCAAGCTGTTATTTGTCATTCCAAGTATTACCCAAGTTCACATCATAAATGAGGTAAGCTGCCAACATAAGTTCCAGTTATGCCATTCAGTATCCAAACTCGCTTTCTAGATGTACACTGGTGGCATTATTTTCAACGCAAAGTCCTCAAGTTAACAGTTGCAAGCTGGTCTATATTTCCCCCGGGGGGTGGGGGTGGGGGGTGAAAAGACCCTAGTTTTCAAAACTGGTCCCCCCGGGGGCTGGTGAAAAGACCCTAGTTTTCAAAACTGGTCAAAACAACATTTGCACAATTCTCTCTAAGGAAAGACCAGATAGGAATCTAGAACAATTCCAAAGCAAAAGGGAAGTCTCAGGACAACATCTTGCCATCAACAAATATTCAAAGACCCATTAGCAATCAAGAAATCACTTTTTATGTCCACACCTGAATTTGTAGAATCACCTTTTTGCTAAGAAGGATGATCCCAGTCACACAAAATTCAGCTTCAAGAATATTCTATTAACATCTAGACCCTCATAATGCCTCCTTGGCTCCAAGAATTTTCCACATTCAATTTTATTTGCTTAAATTTACTTATGGAGATCTTCAAAAGCATTTCTCACAAGATCATTAAATGTCGAAGCTGCCCGAGACATTGAACACCATACAAAAGTTGAAAGCACATTGTACTAGTATTCAATGTGGTCATTCCTAAAGCCATGTGCAATGGTGGAAATAACAGGGGGGAATGTTGCTTCAATTTCTTTTTGATATGGCTACTAGATGATTGAATAGAGATTTATGATCAAGGACTTCTTGCTTTACCATTCAAAAACATTGAAGCTGAATGGCATACATAAGTCCTTTACTACATCATTTTGTAGTCTTTTGTGATGAGTACAGCCTTGTTAAAATTAGAAACCAGTCATGAGGGAACCACCTTACAATGCTCCTAAACAAAATAAATAGCAATAGCCTAGCTATGTCTGTGCTTGGACAGCAAATCTTCAAGCCCCTCTCTAACTTAGCCAGTCTTAATTAAAACCATTTACCCATGAAAGGAATAAATAGAAAATCAAGTGGAACAAAATAATAGTTGATGCATGAAATTGGTAAGGTCCTATCGGTGCATTAACATTACTGGCAATATATATTCATGCACAAGCTTTGGCTTAAATCAACTAGACAACTTTCCAGTAAAAGAGAGATTTAATCAGGACTGAACAGTAGTCTAAAGGACGAGAGCAGTACCCAATCACCTACGACAAACAGGCTCACTAAGACAGGATTTTGGAGGTCTTTCTTTCTCCTCAAAGCATAAATGTCAAGACATGCAAGTCCAAAGCTCCACAAAAGTTGAAGCCCCATTGATGCAATCAAATAGCTGAGCCAGAGAACACGTAACCATCAAAAGAGATGAATAACAAATGCTTGAGAGATGAATTCAATAGTGAATAAAAATAAAAGTCCATGTGAACATATCATAGATACATGTACATGAGCAGCGGACTAGCAGTCAACATGCTCTTACTTCAATTAGCCCCACTAACCTAATAACATTATGGAAGAAGGCAAAATAACTGCTAAATCTACAGGAAGGAAAAAGGAAAAAGGAAAAGGAAATTGGATATTGACTTACAAATAAAGATGCAAAAATAACGATCTAAAAACAGAAGCTCATTTTCAACATTGCAAGAGACATTACACACAAACACTTATCCAGTATCAGCATTTAAAGCTTATTCATGCCAATTGGTCGACACATCATCTCCAATTATTAACTCAAAATCTCAATGACAGATTGACAGTAGCTGCTTCGAAGAGGTATTCATGCATCTACAGAGAAAAACAAACTAAAAATGTTCCAAGTTCCACATAAAGCTTTCAAGACGCAAGCTTCCCAATCTGCAGTAAGAATCTAAATCCCATGTAAATTACTAAAACTCAACAAATTACAAATAAAAATAACGTTCGAAAAGGGAAAAAAAGGGGCATTCTAATTCCTTACATACATAATGAAACATCATAAAAATAAGCAATCTAATCACTGTCGAATCAATAACAAATAAAAAGAAAAGAAAAGGAGAAGAAGCATAAAGAAATAAAACATAAAAAGGAAAGGTTGAAAAAATAGGTACCAGAAAGAAGTGTAGGAAGAGAAGCCAATGGCAGAGGTCATGATTGAAATTGAAGCTGCAGCAAAAACACATTGACCTATTCTCAGTAATAACCCACTCACTGTCCCCGGCCCTCCTATTATCTCCTTCATTTTCCACTCGCTCTCTCTCTCAATAACCAAAGGGCCCTTCTCTTATTCAGGGAACCCTTCAAGCAAAACCCTAGGTTTCAATGTCACTCTCATCAAATCAGTCACAGATTCTCTACTAGACTATCAATCTGGTTGAAGAGACTGGTTTATGGTTTTCAATCACAATCAGAATCTCATGTTCAGTTGAACTGGTTCAACTCTAATTACGGATAGTTGAGGAATAGGCTCATCACTCGAAGCTGTTTAAAAAGGACACAGTCCTCCGATGGATGTCGTGTCCCTTTCTCAGTTCGCGTGCTTTCTTCTTCTCTTTTTAAGTTTTCATTCGGGGAAAAAAAAAAAAAAA